CTTCCAACCACGCCATTTTGGGCCTACGCCTTGCCCTTTTCAGTCTTTCCACTTGAACTAACTCACACCTCCTAACAAGTGTTGTACTTGATGGGCAGCATACATGGCTAGCACACTTAAGTGTACTCTCTCTCATTTTATCGCCTATTAGTGCCACGCCTAAATTTTCTCGAATAGATTCATTTTGAATTCTATCCCTTCTTGTCTTGTCACTCATCCATCTCAACATCCTCATCTCCGCTATACTCATTCTATGAGTATATTGTTATTTGTATGCCCAACATCCCGCCCCATAGAGCAAAGCTGGTCTCACCGCTGTCCTATAGAACTTGCCCTTCAGCCTCATTGACATGCGACAATCACATAAAAATTCAATTGCACATCTCCACTTCGTCCACCTAGCTCTAATTCTATGTGCGACATCTTCCTCGATGTCTCCATTTTCCTGGATTATGATATCGAAAGTGCGGTCATTTTGTACTTCATATCTGTCAATCTTGACTACTTCCTCGTCTCTACTCCTACCTAACTAATTGAAATGAGGCTTGGAAGATGCTGATAGCAAGAATTTTCCATGTTATACAATAAAGGCAAATTACACAAACCAGAGCGCAAACAATTTTACACCATAAAAAACATTCGAAAAAAAGAACCAAACAAATACCAAAATTTGCAGGTCATACATGAAAGAAAGCACTATAAAAAACTGATTTTTAGGTCCTTTTGCATGCAAACGTACAAACGCAATCCATATCATATGAATGAAAAACCCAAATAAATAGCAAAGATTTTCCATGTTATGCATAAGAAAACCACAAAAAGAATTTCAAGAAAATATGAATTGATATTCTTACAATGAATCTGCAAAGGAGTGCTACAAGGCAAAGACTAATTGTGAAACAAAACACCATTCATTCCAATGAGATGACAAAATTTTACAACTTAACATACATTTAGAAGAACACAAAGTCTCCATAAGAATATAATCGAAGTATGTGAAACATTACCCGAATAAAATGCCCGACTCCAAGCCAGAAATGATTTCCTCAACAACATCAAAATGCATCTGTACATACACAAGCTCTGTGTCAAAGTAAATGCAGTTTGTTGTAAACTTCAAGAGTTTAAAAAAAATTCACCTAAAAATCAAACTCAGGTTGTGAGTCACCACGGTCCCAAACGGAGTCTTAAAGACACAGTTCGGCCAAGCCAAGAAAAACTTGGCCAAGTTTATGTCAAAAACTCTGGAATTTATGGACTCGAGCAAGTCTTAAGATAAAACACGAGACTTGAAGAGTCCGAAGGCAAGTCGACTCACTGAGGATTTAAGTGTTGCTTTAAACCAACACACGTCATTATGGGTTTGATGGTTTAGTAAAGATAGATAAGGATGTATGTTCTAGTCTATTGTCCAATCTCCAAAAGTAAAACATACCAACTCTTGTTCACGGCGTTGATGTTTGAAAATTCGAAGCCATCCATTCAAAAGGACCTAAAATATAAAATAAATTAAAGGAAAAAATTAGCAAAAAATATTTGAAAATGGTACCCGATAGAAAATTTGTTATACATTGACATGCTATCATAAAATAAAGAAAATAAATCTTTGGAATATTTCTTGACTAGCATACAAGGATCACTAAATACAATATCTACTTTTCGCACTGCTTGAATATCAAGTAGTTTTGCAAGAATGTCACCTTGCCTAGTCACACAACATGCTAGGTAATCTGCTCCACTCTAAGTGGGAAGGATCAACTATTGTTACCATGATCTCCCATTGGGTGTTGATCCCCTCTAGGATCTAGGTTCGGATCTCTAGGATAGGGAAATCGATGGGAAGAGTGCTTTTTGAATTTTTGGGATCTCACTGCCCATATTTTAGGGACTAATCCTAGCCACTTGAAGGGGCAACAATAGGCCAAGAAGATGATTCATTTGTATTGTAATCGCAATCGTACTCTCTCTCTCTCTCTCATGCTTTTGGAGGTTGTAAAGTATAAAGATGTAAATAAAGAAGCTCAATATGCTTTTTAAGGTTGCAAAGTGTGAAATTGTACATAAAGCATTTATCAATAAAAAATCAGCTCCCTTGTATCGTATCAATTAACCCAATCTGTCTTATCAAAATATTTCTTATTGAATTTTTGTGGGAGTATTGTTATGTAAACGACACCTCAAAGAAATACATATATTATTTATTAATTAAATAAAATTTAATTAGTAGATAACTATTTTTTATTGCCATCTTTTGTGGCCATTATTTACTGTATTTAATAGTTTGAATTTCTTAATTTTTTCACACAATTTCCTTTTTTAGTTTTTATTTATATCGACATACAGAATGCACTCTCAACTTACGAAGCTTCGAGCATGTGACGATCCCCTACACCCACTTCTGCTTCCAAAAACGATGGGATTACCTAATGAAATCCCATACTACTTCAAATGATTTGATGTAGTGCCAGAAAATCTCAATGCCATAATATTTAACACGCATACAATTACATGTACATCAAGAAAATAAAACGATTATGACGAGAAAACAAGAAGGCAGAAACCATACAAGAAAAGAAACCAATGCCTCTGAAGTCATCATAGAACAGAAGGGGCTAATGCAGTAAGAAGGGGCCATAAAAGGGGGATTTTCGTAGATCTACTCCATGATCCAATAGATGACATAATTGAGAAACTTGAAAGGCAAGTATAGCAGCTGGCACAGCAGTTAGTGAGCCTCAACAATGGGCAAGGCGATAATCTTTCAGCCCAAGAGGATCTCGCGTGCAAGCCTTTTCCCTTTCACGCTCTGTGTGTGGAGTCCGGTGATGAGGATAGCGATAGAAGACCTAGATGTGGGGAACATCACTCTAGGTTTTTCGATTTGAAGGATGAAATTTTTTATTTTGACATAGATTGCATGGAAAGTCAACAAATTCTAGATTGAGATTCACCACTAGTCTTCGATATATACTCAGATGAACAATAAGATTTCTTAGGAGATCTAACTTATGATAAGGATTAAGATGATGGTGAAGATATCTTGATAGAGGGTGAAGAATATGGAGAGAAGGCAACAAGAGGACTGATCCAAAGCATAGCCTTTAAAGATGTCATTAATATTGAAGAAATAGAGCACTCAAGAAATTCAGGGTATTGGAATCAAAGTAGTGCAGTAGAAGCATGGTTGATTCAGAAGCTGCAAATTGTGGCTCTAATTCCTCAATATACATATCAAGATTTGGTTCTTGAGGAATTTTTTTTACCAGAAATAACCTTTGAACCAACAAAGAAGAAGCTTCAAGAAGTGGGTTTTAATGCTGAATTCATCTTAGAACACTTCAAAACTTGAGGACGACTTTTCTCCAACAAGGGGAGAATGATAGAGGAAAAAATTATATGTGCATTTAATTTCTACTCAATTTTAAAGGATGTATATTCTGATGTTAGTTTTAGGGTTTAATTCTAGGGTTTTGTTAGTTTCTTGGAATTCTAGGGACTTTTAGATATTTTAATTAAATTTAGGGAGTTTAGTTTCAAATTATACTTAGGTTAGGACCTTTTGGGCAAAAGTTAATTGTATGAATAAATAGTGTCCAAAACAATAATTTTTCAGTATACATAAAGGCATCGATGGGCTGGAGAGTCATTCATGTAGTCCTCTTTAAGAAAAGAAAGACTTTGCCTTGTAAAAGAAGCCTAAGGCTTAAGCCCTAGGTGGAAAAAACCTTAGGGTTTGTCCCAAATTGCTTGTGTTTGGCTTATTTCTTGCTAATTTTACTATTCCCTCAATTTCTCCTACATCAGCTCTATCCCAACTAAACTAACGGTCCCCAACCCAATCCCTAAACCAACATATTTTATTAATTTGCGTAAAACTATACTTCCGTTTGTGTTAACAACAAAATTATTAGTGAGGTTGCACAAACGTTATGCATCAAAAACTCCATTATTTAAGAGAAGAGAGGAGAGGGGGGAGGAGTGGAGGTGAAGTTGGGTGGTGGGTGGGTCCGAACACCAAATATTGTGCTAGAGGGTTCTTCTTTTGCAAAGCCTATCTGAACAGGAATTGCCTCTCTCCAAGTGCGCCTGAAAGTGACTAGTAGAGAAGGGCATAATTAGAACATTTCATCAAAGGTGGACTCCAATCTTCATGGGCACGAAAATAATTTATTCGATCCAATTAAATAATGTTTTGGCAGTCCCCTTCTACTAGGAGGGGAGTCCCCAGTTTGTCACACATTTTGGGACCCATTATTAGGGGCTTTTGCCTCAGCATCCATGGCGTGTATTGTATCTAATGGTCCAATGTATGACCTGCAATACTGAAATTGCTGAGTGAGTAACCACCAAAATTCACCTTGATTACTCTAGACTAACGTTGAATCCAATGAAAGGATCCAAGATCGTCTTTGTGGGGTTGACAGTATGATTCATTTTCCAATTTCGATCTGGGGCTATTGAAGGCTTTATAATTGTAGCCTAAAAGGATGATGGCGGCTTTGATACTTTTAAAGAAGGATTTCATGTGGCTCTTTCCCAGTGTTTCAAAAAGAGGACAGCCCAATGTCTGGGCGGCCGCCTAGGCGGATCTTGGGAGTTGGGTGCATCGCCCAGGCCTAGGCGCCCAAAAAAAGAGGTGGTTCCTGGGCGCCTGCCTAGGCACCCAGGAAACCGCCTAGGCAGTCGCCTAGGTCCAGCGCCCCGCCCAGACATGGAAATAGCTTTCGGTGGGGGTATTTTTTGTCCATTTTTTATACTAAAAAGCCAAAAATTGGGGTTTTAAGTTCATTTGAAACCTAAAACTTATTGGAGCCCATTTTAGAGAGAGAAAGCCCCCAAAAAACTAGATTTCTTTAAGATGGAAGAATTTCTCAAAGTTATAAGAAATTGATCAAAACATCACTCATTGATATTAGATTTAATTTTTGATGTTTAATAAATCAATTGAGGAGTTTTTTAGAAGATTTTGAGTCCCTAGAAGCATCTTTGATGTGGAAGTTTGGAGATTGAGCAATCAAGCTCAAAGTAAGTGATTTTTTTTTATTGCTTGTATAAATTGGATTATTTTGATATGTCTTCTTCAAGATCTAAAACGAGTGGTGATCCTAGTTGGAAATATGGCTACAACATAGATCCTAATGAAAAAATTACATAAGATGCAATTTTTGTGAGAAGGATACAAAATGGGGCATAAACCGGTTCAAGAAACATCTTGCCGGTATCAAGGGGTGTTGCCCCATATAAAAACACTCTTGATGCTGTTAAAGAGGAAATAACCAATTTTTTGAATATGGTAAAAATGAAAAAAGATGAGAGATTTGCCTCCATAACAGATATTCGGTCTGGGGTTCGAGTCAATTATGATGATGATGATAGTGATGAGGATGCGATTGGGGAGGGATGTCAAGAAGTAGAAGTAGAACAATCCATTATAAGGGAAAAGAGAAAGGGAGTTGTAATTGCTTCTGGTTCTGGATCTGGGAGTAAGAAGCCTCGAGTTAAAGGTTCTATAGATAGCTTTTTGCCTCGGCCTAACCCTGAGGTTGAAGGAGAGAAAACAAAGAAACAAACCACCATTGAAAATAGAATGAAGAAGGATCAGAGAGATAAAATTGCTTATTATCTTGCTACATCGTTTTATGAGGTGAACATTCCTTTCAATGCCGCTCGCTTAAGCAACTTCTATGCCACGGTAGAGGCAATTGGCCAATTTGGGCCTAGGATGAAACCCCCAACCCCATATGAGCTTCAGAGCCTCTTTTGAAAAAGGTGGTGATTGTCACAAAGGAAGTTGTAAAAGTTAAGAAGGATGCATGGGCTCAGTATGGGGTTTCTATTATGACTGATGCTTTGAGTGATAGGAAGTGAAGAAGTCAGATGAATTTTGCTTGTGAATTGTCCTTTAAGGACTACTTTTTTGACGTCGATTGATGTCGCTTATCATATCCATGATGCCCATTACATATTCCAAGTTATAGAGAAGGGAATCAAGGAGGTTGGGGAGCATCATCTTGTACAGGTTGTCACAGACAATGCTACTCCTAATATTGCTACAGCTAATTTGTTGCGCATAGCTTATCCTAGAATCTTTTGGACACCATGTGTAGCACATTGTATAGACCTCATGGTTGAGGCTCTTGGTGGTTTAACCGAGATATCAAGTGTAGTGAAGAAGGCAAAGTCAGTTATAAATTTTAGTTATGGCCACCATCTCACCCTCAACATGACACGTAGATTTACAAAGAAGAAAGAGATTGTGAGGCCTGGGGTCACGAGATTTACGACCTAGTACTTATGCTTAGATAGCATACATTCGAGGAGAGTGCAGTTAAAGCAGATGTTTACCTCGGATGACTGGAGAGCATGCAAGTGGTCTAAGGATCAAGTTAGAAAGAAGGTGAGAGATATTATCCTTTCTAAGGCCTTTTGGCAAGGGGTAAAAGACGCTCTTGAGGTATTTTTCCTGTTGTCAAAGTCCTTCACATGGTTGAT